GTATTAGAGTCACAACATAGAGCTCACAAGAAGAATGAACATCTCACCAGTCCTGGCAGCATGAAACCAAAAGGGACAAAAACCTGTGGATGCATAAACCAAGATGCAATTACAATGACAAAATGACTCAGCTCTCTCTCTCGCTCTCTCTCTCTCTCTCTGTCTCTCTCTCTCTCTCTCTCTCTGACTCTCTCTCTCTATCTCTCTCTATCTCTCTTTCTCTCTTCCTCTGTCTGTCTCTCTCTCTCTGTCTCTGTCTCTCTCTCTCTCTCTCTCTCTCTCTGGCAGTTATCTTGAGGTCTGAGTGTTGTGGAAGCACATCCCCCTTTTGCTGGAATTCAGGTGCCACAGTGCCATCTGCTGGACAAACACTTCTCTAATGCTTCATAACATCGTCTCTCATAATGGAACACATGAGTCATTCAATATAAATGTGAAATGGTTGATAATGGGTGCTCTGTGTAGTTTTCATACATTTGATCTAATCTGTAATGGCATCTTGTCAGCTTGGTGTAGGTGTATGTACTCTGCGTTCTGTTCCTGTGAACAGAAGTTGAAACCAGAAATTCTAAACAAGTCACACCTTTGTTAATGTGTTAATGAAAACATATATACATATTGACTAATTAATGAATGACACCAAATAAACGCATGAATGAAGAGTTAACATATCAAATCCCTTTCATTTCCTCTCATCCGGTAAACCAGCAGAGTTGACGCCGGCCTTTCATTTTAGATGCAATGTTGTAGGTCGGCTGCAATTATCAGAACAACCCAAACATTCAGGCTCCCTCGTGTGGCTCTCTGCATGTGTACTCCAGATATTAATCTGGATTAAAGAAGACTAGAAGAAGTCTCCTGCGACCCACCTGTGGGTCCAGACCCAGTCTTTGTGAATGACTGTTCTAAACCCTCATCGTCGTCATCGTGTTCAGCCTGATGCTCAGACCTGTTCATCTCTGTCCTTTCTCCTCCAGCTCTCAGTTGAAAAGAAGGTATCGAGGTGAAGCTCTCTCTCAGGCTCCACTTCCCTTCAAGCTGCATATAAAACCTTCAGAAGGATTGGCCCCTGCACAATATGACTGCAATTAAGAAATAAGAATAGAAGGACACCCAATAACAACAGAACCAGCTGCCTAAAAGATCTTTATATGAAATTCCTTCAGCAATAATGTATGAGACATATAAGGCATTCCATCTTGGCAGTGTTATCACAGCGACTTGTTCTGTTGTACACAACACCTGAGATCTCTTTATATTGCAGGCTCGCCAATATCCTGTTTCCCTGACACGAGTGTGCATTAAGGTCAGCTTGGTGTTGAGCTGACTTCATGTGAGCAGACCCAATAACCTCACACAACATCAGCCTTCGCCTTCTCAATTTCCTGTCAGAATAACAATCGACACCTTATGGATGCAAAGGAGATGAGGAGGGAGTTTGGAGTCTGTTGAGATTGTCAGGGTTCCTCTAAACCAAGCTGAAGAAATAAGCAACGCTAGAATAGATGTGACTTGTGTCCCTGTGATGTTAATACAAATAAAATGAGCAATTAGGGAGAAATCAGACAGTGACAAGATGAGTTGAGATGAGATGAGGTGGAACAGAGCATTATACATTCTCATGGGGATATGAGTGCTGCTGGGAGTTAGATGTGTGTGCGTGTTTGCATATTTGTGAGAATATTTATGTGTGTACATGTGTGTCTCAAGTAGACAGATGGACAGACAGAAATAGCCAGAAGATGAGAGATAGATATGGAGGTATGCAGGAGGAGAGGAAGATGGAAGAGAGCAGGTTTCAGAAGGAAAATTAATGAAAGGTCGACAAACAATTTAATGGTGGATTTGCTAAGTCAATAATAAGCTGGAGTTCATATTTTAACATCATATCAGTGCCACTGTTATATTTGTGTAAAACTAATGACCTAAGTGGTGATGAACGGGCACTAGCAGATCCTTTCCTCTGTGTGTTTCTTCTTCTATTACACACATCATTACCCGATGCCAAAGACATTTCTTGTTGCTAAAGATCATCCATCATGGAATGATGCATACACTTGATGACATACTGTACATCCAAATGATATTGCATTGTGGATTATGAATGTCTTGTGTTACCCAGGTAACTAAACAATAGTTTGACTTGTGGGGAAATATGCTTGCTAGGTGAGAAGATTGATACCTCTCTGATGCTTCTCCCGATTACATACGAGGCTACAGCCAGCTAGCTTACGGGACGTAAGGACTGGGAACTGGAGAGCAGCGCCGCCGCCACTGCAAAGGGCAGACGACGTGGTCACCCTTTAAAAGGGATGTTGAAGAACAGGGTTCATAAGGAGGAGCAGTGCTATAAAAGTGGAATATATAAACAAACGCTCACTGAAACAAATGCAAAAATGAAACCCATGAATTTCAAGAAAACTAATGAGAAGAAAAAGAACAGCAAAGCAAAGCAAGCTGGCGCCTCACAGGAACCAACTCCTCTCTCCCCTTACTGTGAATGGGATTTCATTTTCTCACCTGGAAGATACCACCTGCCCAGCTCTTTATAGGGTAGGCTTCGCTGCACATGCATCCAAATCACATCGAATAATGAACATTAATTCAAGACCTTTAAGTTACTGCTGACGTCTCAATCTAACTGTGGGCACCATCCATATCAATTATCACACATAACATGATAGAATGTTATTTACTGCAGAACTATTTTACCTTTATTCTCTTTATTCATCTTCACAGGTCCTGCCCCGCCCTGCTCAGAGGACCCAATGAGACAAACCTGCTAAGCAGCTGATCGACCACATCAGGCACAACCACAGCAAGACACCCTCTGAACCCATGACACATACATGCTTGTATCATTTATACACCATCATTGATAATGTGTCAAATAAACTGAAATATAGGACTGAAATTAATAATTAAGCGGAACAAAAATAGTTATTTTTGGGAGACAGACTAGTGCAAAGGGGGAAGCAGCTCTGTGGTGAGCTCTGGAGGAGCTGGTGTATATCTTGTTCCCTTTGAATAGAGCTAGGCTTTGGCTATATAAAGCAGTCTTTATGCTAAGCTAAGGCTGTAGCTTCGTATTTCCACGCTTACTCATGAAACTGGTATCAATCTTGTTATCTAACTTCAGGCATATTTCCAAATATGTAGAAGTACATCTTGAAAGCAGCTTTACGTACTTCCTACTTTGGCTTACAGGAGGCTGAGCCAATTTAGTATCAAGTATCAGGCCCCCAGGACATGTGATGGGCTGTAAAAGACATTTGACATAGTGGCCAAACGGTGAAATTACAACTTCTGGATCGGTCTCGTGACGCCATGGGGCCCCGAAAAGACTTTTTCCACATGGACTTACATTCGGGAAGAGATGTAAAATTAGTTTTTTAAGGTAAAAAAAATTCCCAGTGAGAACACTTGAATGGCTCTCATTTAAATCTCTCGGTCCTAAGTGTTGTTAAATGCACAAAGTTATCTTCCTTCATGTGAATGAGCCTGAGATTGAGGCCTGGGAGACGGGGTTAGAGGAAACGTGAGTGCGCTTTCTCTCTATGAATACCAGGTGATTTAAACTCTTTAGGAATGGACAGGGCCCCGCCTCCAACGCTGTATCAGTGCTCTACATCCACGCCTAGCATCCTTCACTCACACACGGCCACTGCCTGTTGGTTATTGAGGCTTTGCCTCTTCAATGAAGACAAACGAGCTCATTATTAAGTGTTTGCATGTTCATGCGAGATGAAGTGTGTGTGTGTGTGTGATTTCTCATGCATCTGCCCCTCTAAAGTATGTTCTCGTGTGTGTCTGTAAATGCGTAAATTGTTTTGCAGGTGTGTAGAATGTTTGTGCAGGCTGTGTGTGTGTGTGTGTGTATGCAAATACTGACCTTTGCCTTGTGAAAGCTCTGTCTCATGAGGTTAATTGCTTCATTTAGCCTCAGTTGTTTGAAATTTCCCCACTTTTAAACGCAACTCAATATTGTATTTTGTCCTGAGTGGGAGGGTAGCTGTGTGTGCTCATGATCATCAGCAGAGTGAGTGGGGGTGCGGGCTGTTCTACCCACTTTCTGCTTAATTGTACCAGCAGCACATCTGGCTGCGGTGTACACTGTCATGCTTTGATTCCTCATCACGTGCAGCTGTTATCAGATGCTCTTCATTTGCTAAGCATATTTACCATGAGCAGTATGCTGTCATGGATGAGAGGGACAGTGAAACAGAGAATCCTTATTCTGAGGCTAAATTAACGCCTAAATGCATTTGAACCTAGAGAGCTCGTTTGGGAATACATTTACGGTTAATGGCGTGTTTATTAGCAGAGTCATGCATGTGAATTGTGGTATAATGAGGTTTGCATGAGCACACAGCAGATGTTGGCTGTGCATGCAGAGGGTGCTGCAGTTCTGATGCTGGACATGGTGGGGTGCTAAGACACAGGGGGGCAGATGGACGCACTCTGAGTAAAACGTATGAGAAATGAAAAAGAAGTGTGAAGTAATGAGACTTCTCAGACGTGGTTATGAATTCTTCCACTTTATTTATCATCCAATGGTCACAATTTTACCGTACAAAACCAAATTCCAACATGGAACTGCATTGGAATGCGATTATTTTCAATACACACACACACACACACACACACACACATTCAATACCAAAATTAAATACAATTGTTTTATAAAATAAACAGGGCAGAGGAGAAGAGACACATTAAGTGATATTAAGACATGCAGTGACAAATATAAAAAATAGACATTTCTTTTTCTGTACAAACATACATGGACACATATAAATATATAGAAGTAAAAAAGAGTGTATTTTTAAAATGCAAAGGTCAAGTTGTACAGTTACATTCCATAATAACAAAACAGGAGACGTAGCACGATATCCAAGTGAGTTTGTCTTTTTCCACAGACACTGTACAATATTGTACACTGTAGAAGCAGAAATTAGATCACAACTGTTGGTTCCTCCCTGTTGAGTCTGTTCACGCTGCAGTAAACATTACAAATGAAGAGAGGGTACAGTATTGTTGGTGGATCTCCTTTGAAATCAGTCAATCAAGCAACTTTCGGTGAGACCGTAATAACAACTGAGCAGTCTGTTCTTTGAGTCGCCTCGATCACAACTTCAGTGCTGTGTTTTACTTTTCTCTGCGAGTCTCTCAGCACTGAGCTCTTAAGAGTATATTTGGTCAAATAAACAAGACAAGCATTATAGTGAACAAGGAAACAGTCATCATAAAGTTTATATATGTTGACACAAAGAACAAGCGTTTGCCAGAATGAGGTGAGACGTGAAACGATGCGATGCCTCTAGTTCTGTCTGACGTCCTTCAGCAGCTTGTTGATCTCATGGACCAGCTCGCTAGCGTCCATGCCGGCCTCATGTCGGCTCTCATGTCGGCTCTCATGTCGGCTCTCATGTCGGCTCTCATGTCGGCTCTCACTGCGCTTTCCGCCCTGATGGAAGACGCCATCAAAGTCATCTTCCTCATAATTCTCTGGGATTTCCTCCATGGCTGGCAGCCATTTGAGATGTGGCGGCTGTCCGTTGGTCGAGGTGGAAGTGGAGTTGGAGGATGATGATGAAGAAGGAGAGGAGGCGACATGATTGGTTCCCGCTGATCCGCTTCCAGGATTTAGATAGTGGGTATTGGCCGCCCATGCAGCCACACCTGGGGGGTAAGCGGGACCCTTCCCACCTGGCAACAATCCTCTCCGGTTGTCTTGAGGGACAGCATTGTTACTGTGGTTGCCTGCAATGTTTCCACCACGCCCACTTCCTCTCTCAGCGGTCGATGAGGACGAGGGTGGGCTTGTTTCAGTGCACTCTGCATACGAGTCCATATTAGGGGGGAGGAGCCGCTGGAACACAGAGTTCATCTCTGTGAGGAGGGAGCCAGCCCCTCCTCCAGCCGCACAAGCATTGCTTCCTCCTCCGGCGACGACTCCCCCGGGCCCTTCCTCTTCGTTCCCAGACTCCTTGCCAAAAGTGGAGAAGCTCTTGCGCCGCTCCGAGTCAACGGAGGATTGGTCATCTTCGAGTGGAGGCTGCTGGGAGGACTCCTCCCCGGGGATGTACATGTTGTTGCGGTAGTCAGAGGAAGCCGGCGAGGAGAGGGGGGGCATCCAGCACTGGTCAGAGTGTCCCAGGACACGACATTCATCCGTGCACAGTCTCATAGCTAAACCAAGAAAGAAAAGACGTAGAAAGAGTCAGGAGCACATCCGGCCGAAACAAACTATACATGGAACACAACAATAAATAGAGTGACTGCAAAACAAAGCAGCTCAGATACATCAGATGTTTAAAGCCCTGGGGTTTGTTAAACATAATTCTTTAATGTTTCATACAGTTCTTACAGTCTTCAGTCTCCTTATCTGTTCATATTCCTGCTTAGAGGACCAGACTGGTGATATTTACAGCTTACAGTACAAATAACCGGGTAGCACCAGGTATGGAAACAATCACAAGAAGTAGTGAAATAAATGAATAATTGCAAGATCCCGCATAAATTACATTACAGGTAGATGTTAATGTAATATTTGGCTGCTCTGCCAAGCATGCACGCATCTCCCGACTACGCAGCTGAGGCAGGGATTTGCTTGTTTGGTTCTTTTGTCATATCTAGCATGAATAGCCACATTTGCCTATCTAAATAGAAAAATCTAAACAAATTAAATCTATTGAAGAGAAACAGGGATAATCCTCATTTTCGGTCCATTATCTCCTTCCAACTCCCTTTTTCATATTATCAGGAAGGGAAGGGGGGGGGGGGGTAGGAGGGGTGCAACACCTCTAAGTCTTTCTCAAAGGGAGAAAAAATAGAGATAGAGAAAGACTGCCCATGTCCACCACCCCTCCCTTTATCCATCTCAATAAAGATAGAGAATACATTAACAAGTACAGAGGAGCGAGAGATGCCGAGGAGCTCTCAGGCATGTAGAGAGTGAGAGGGACAGAGCGAGAGAGAGAGAGAGAGAATAACATCTTTCTAAAAGCAATTACTATGAATTCTCCTCAGTTCAGACATGAAAGCGCACCACTGTCACTCATCAGGGGAAAAAAAGAGAAAGAAGGAAGGACAAAAAAAAACAAAAAACTGCACACTGAGACACATACCGATGAGTGACAGGCGACTCATCTCCGCTCCGGGGAGGATTTTACAGACACGACTCTAACTTAGGGGCAGATAACACGCACACACACGCACACACGCACACACACACACACACACACACACACACACACAAACACACACGCACACACACAAACACACACATACACACATACAAACACACAAACACATACACACATACACACACACAAACACACACGCACACACACACATACACACATACAAACACACAAACACACACACACACACATACACACATACAAACACACAAACACACACCTACATACATGCAATAACAGAAACAGCCAGACACACTGTAACCTCTCTCAGAGTGATAACGAGCGTGGAAATGAGGGCTCTGAAAGAATGGGGCTGAGTACAATGGGGATTGTGTTGGCAGCAGGGTGAATTGAGTGGCTGTATAGACAGTATAGACAGGTGTACAGACAAATAATGGGCTTGGGCCTGGTGCTGTCCATGGTGCTGAAAGGTGTCAGGGAGGAGGTGAATTAGAAGGCTGGGTGTGGTTTGGGTTAATGCACTGCTAGTTAATTAAGGTTTGGTCTCAGAATGTGAGAGAAACGTCTCAATCTTCTAATGTCTAAGAGAACCTATTAAGAACCTTATGATCAAGGTCGAAAGTTGGATGTCGATACATAGGACGTTTTGCAAACTGTCGTTATCGGAAGAACTGGGCTCCGATAGTGGCCGATGGTTGAGCAGCCACTACCTGTCAACAGGGGACTTATATCACCGCTTAGCACGGAGGCTCCATACGCGTAATAAGCTCCACAGAAAACATCTGTGTGCATGTGAATAATAATCTAATATTAAATACCGCATGAAATGGCACATATAGGAACAGCTAGATTTACACAGAGCTGAAAAGTCATATCTGATCTGTTTCCTGTGTATTTATCCTTAATAAGATCAAATAAAAAAAGATAAAAGCTATCCTTCGAATATATGATGCAACACCATCAGCTCTTGATAGGTAACGGCCGATTAATTGGCTATCAGCTCTTTCCTACTTCAAACCATTGTTATATTTGCTCAACCTCTAGATCAACCCGAGACAAAATCCATCAGGAATATGAATTATGACTTCACACATTTCTTTTGCAAGAAACGATGTAGCTCAGGTGCTGTGCTCTGAAGTTGAGGTGATAGTTAAGTGTGACGGGCTGCTGTAAAAGGTGTTAAGTATGCGACTCAGCTGGATAGAGCCAATTTGTGAAGTTGTGGTAAGGAGGGTGCAAAACTTTGTGTGTGTGTGTGTGGAGATGAGGGGGGTGTTGTGGAGAAACTATCAGGATGGGATGGCTACCTGGGTGTAGTCGATGGTGCATTTCGAGGTGGATCAGGTCAGAAAAGCCCTCCCCCAGCAGCAGCCTGTCCACGGGGGATTCCCGACCCATGTCACAGTCACTGTCTCCTGCCTCGCTGTCCCCACGGCCACTGTCCTTCAGGCTGAACTTGTCCATGTCTTGTAATGCATATCTGAGGGGGTCAAAAAGCAAGAAAGGTTACAAACACATATGGGTACCAATCCGTTGGAGATACTGTAAGACTGAAAGACAGTGTTGCAAGTTCTCCTTTTGCATATACAAAGCAGAATGCATCGTGCTTTGCAGGGCTGATAGAATCAATCTGTCCTCAGAGGAGACTAACGACAAATACATCCATCATATAAAACTTAAGGCTGCTTCTGGATCCTGTCAAATCTCTACGCAAGCCTCGGCCCATAAATCCTACCTGCAGGTAGATCCCATCAATAAATCTATGACCACAGCCACTGGGGGCATCAATACATCTATCATCCAGAGAAGCAGAAGGGATATTTATGATGAAAGTAATGATAGATGCACATTTTACAACTTGAGCCCAATTTATTAAAGAAGAGTACCAATAAAAGATGTTGTGACATTTGGAAGAATGAGTTGCATACTTTTGACTTGAATGATTTTGACATGATAACAGCTGGAATATGAAAAACAAATACATGTACACATTTACACGCCATAACACCATGAACTACATGTAACGGACCAACTGACAGGCACAACTCCACAACAGGTTGTTGGAACATGTAATACATAATGAAAAAACAAGTGGTTTAAAAAGTAAACAAAGGTAATCCTTTGTGGGGGGGGGGTAAATTACCTGTAGCTGCGGGAGTATTTGTTGCCACGGAAACTGGGTCTGGGCTGGTACTGGCCCTGATGGAGCATGGACAGAAGCTGTGAGACTTGCTACATCCAAAAATAACAAAAGAAACAAAAAGAAAAGAAACAAAAAGAAACAGAAAAGGGGGGATGAACAACAGATGGGACATTGAGGAGGAAAAAAAAGAGAGACAACACAGAAGACAAAATAATGGATGAGTAAACACAAAATGGATGATGGAGAAGCTGCTGAACATGAATCAGACAAAATGGATGATGTTGGGTGGGGGGCGAGTTGAATATGGAGACAGATGACAGGGGCGAGTTGTGGTTATGATAGAGGTAAAGGGTGCAAACAAAGTACAGACAAAGACACATCTATCATCATCAACGGTTTTAATAAGAGTCCGTGTGAACTGCAGGGCAGTGCTGAAGTCACAGTCGCACATGGAGATGACTTCATTTGCTCAAATATAGAAGGATGTGTGAGGATGAGAGAGTGTGTGAGAGAGAGAGAGAGTGTGTGTGAGAGAGAGTGTACGTGTGAATGAGAGAAACTCAGAGAGAAAATTTGAAAAGGGGCTGAGGGACCAAAATTGAAATTTCTGTGAATAATTGACTTCTGTGTGTTTGTGTGTGTGCTCACCTCCACTGGTGGAGTTGCATGCGCCAGTTCCAGTGCAAAGCTCTCTGGGATGTGATTGGACGAGATGGTCACCAGGCTGTTTAGTGATTGGCGGCTGTGGTGATTCTGCCGGCTCCCCATCTGGGCTCGGTCCATGGGGGGCGTGGCCGAAGGCGAGCGGTGGTGAGCCCTGATTGGCAGGGTGCCGTTCACCGTGGGAACCAGGGTGATATCACCTTTGTGGATTTGGCGCGAGGGCTTCTTGGGATGATGCTGGTGGGTCGATTCTGCTACCCGACAGTTGTAGGAGTGTCTTGTGTCCTTCTTCTCCCGGTTACAGCGAGCGGCAAACACCACCATGATGACCAAGAGCATGGTGCAGATGGCCGCCAGGGAGATGATGATAATCAGGGATGTATCGACAGAAGATTCCCCCTGGTCCATCACCTGGACGTGGTTCTCCATGTTCTCATAGAGGGTGATTTTTATTGCCGCTTTAGCGCTGAGGCTCTCCCTTCCATGATCTCTGACCATCACTGTCAACTCAGCGTGCTCACGAGGGAAGTTCTCCAGGCTGGCGTTGGCGTGGATTTCACACGTTCTTGGGTCAATAATGAAGAAGCCCTCTTCGTTACCACTGACAATAGAGCAAATGAGCTCAGCGTTGACCCCCGTGTCGTGATCAGTCGCCCTGACCACGGTTACTAACTGTCCAGCCTCTGTGAACTTTGACGCGGGCACATCAGCAGTGAAGTTCCACAGCTGGGGGACCACGATGACTGGAGAGTTGTCATTCTCATCCAGAATATTCAGAATAACTGTGGCGTTGCTGAGCAGCAGTGGTTTCCCTGCATCTTTGGCTTGCACAACAAAGGAGATGCGACTAACATCCTCACGATCAAATGTACGCAGTGCATATATGGCCCCGTTTGAGGGGTCAATGGTGACGTAGGTGGAGATGGAGCTCCCGTGAATGGAGTTCTCCAAGATGGAGTAGCTCACCTGTCCATTGGTGTCCAGATCAGGGTCAGTGGCCATGATGGAGGTCAGATACGCTCCAGGAGCATTGTTCTCTGATTTGAAGATCTCATATTGGCCTTTCTCAAAACGTGGTGGGTTGTCATTTTCATCAGTCACATGTACAGTGAAATGTTTGACAGTAGAGAGACTGGGGGTCCCTCTGTCCTCTGCCACCACTGTCAGACTGAACTCTGACCTCTTCTCACGGTCCAGAGACACATTGGTCAAAATCATGTAGTTGTTCTCGTAGGACTTCTGCAGTTTGAAATATCCTTGACCATGAAGTTTACACTCTACCTCTCCATTCAACCCAGAGTCCAAGTCCTCCACCCTCACCAAAGCTACAAACGTGTCCAAAGGAGAGGCCTCGGATATGTAAGCTGCATCCCCATTCCCCTGAGAGGACATAAGGTTGATGCTGATGTCTGGTTTATTGTCGTTCACATCTACCACTTTGACCAGGATCTTGCAGTGTGCTGGCATGGAGTTCGGACCCATGTCCTGCGCTTGAACGTCAATGTCATACGAGTTAACGGTCTCATAGTCCACCCGCCTTATGAGGGTCAGGCGACCGCTGTCGGGGTTAATCTTGAACGTCTCCATTATTTTGGGCGACACATGACTGCTGAATGAGTAGATTATTTTGGCGTTAGTACCGTCGTCCGCGTCAGTGGCGTTTAAGTCAATGAGCAAAGTGCCAACAGGTGCATTTTCTGGGAGACTAATGACATATGATGACTTGTCAAAAATCGGGCTGTTGTCATTTGAGTCAGCAACACTGATTTTGAGGAGCGTCGAACCCGTTCTTGAGGGAACGCCCCTATCAGAGGCTGTGTATTGAAGTTCATAACCGGAGCGCACCTCCCGGTCCAGCTCCCTGAGCACCACCAGCTCTGCATATTTAGCCCCGTCAGTCCTAGACTGGATGTCGATCTTGAAAAAGTTGTTGGTCTCTAAGGCATACGTGTAGAGCGAGTTCTCCCCGACATCGGGGTCTGTGGCGCTGTCCAGGGGAATGCGCGCCCCCACGGCCGCGCTCTCGGAGATCTCTATGGGGACGACGGCGCGGGCAAACTGGGGTGCGTTGTCGTTGATGTCTAACACCTCCACCTCAACGTGAAACAGCTGCAGGTGCTCCGTGGGGAGTGTCAGCACGTCGAATTGAATAGAACAGTTGAGATTCTTTTCGCAGAGTTTCTCGCGGTCAATCTTTGTCCTGATGCTGATTTCTCCGTCCTGCTCGCGCACCGCTAGGAACGACGAGCTTCCTCTTTGCATAGCTCTGAAGCGGAGCGACACTGAGCTCGGAAGTTTAGCAAGAACATCTGCAACATCGTCCCTCAAACGGGCAATAACCGTGCCAACCTTCTGCTCCTCGTGAACCTGATATTTCAGTGTCTTACCGGTGACGTGTTGTGTTGTCAGCGTCAAAACAGCCAGACATGTCCACATTGTTGACAGAAATAGTCCTTTCATTTTCCCTGGTTGCATGTTTGCTGAAGTCGCAAACAGATCACAAAACTGCAGCACAGGTCAGTCCCAGTTTGAATTGACTAAATGCGGTGCTCCCTCAATCAGCAGCTGCATGTCTCTCTCCACGGAGCGAGGAGCGAAAACAAACAAATGTTAAACGAAGCTGACTCAAGTTGTTCTAATTTCCATAAAAACACATCCACATTTGTAGCTATCTGTTCATCCTTTGAGAGTGGGAGAACCAGCTGAATGCCACTGAAATCTGTGCGCCTTTCCTCCCTCTCTTTCCTGCGTCTGGTCTGTACGCTGTGCGCTCTGCTCAGCTCTCTCTCTCTCTCCGTTTGAGGTGCCTCTGCACATAGACTTGCCCAAAATAACCCGCCTCAAACCAACTAGTAGTACAACAGCTACAGCCCCCTTTTCACATCCCAGGAAAGACAAACGCTTCTTGAATCAAAAGCTGGCTGGTGGCCACTCAAACTCCAGAGGAGAGGAGGGGGAAGCGCATGAGAGGGGGAGGAAAAAGAGAGTGTGTGTGTGTTGGGGGGTAAACCGCCCTTAGGGGTTCACTCTCCTCACTTTTCAGAGTAACGACCATGCGCCTACAATGAACAGGAGAGAAAATAAACTCTAGAAGAAAACATTCATTCAAAAAGCTTAACCTGCCGTTTTTCACTGCTATAAAAACACAAGAAGGTTTACGAGTTTCTCGCTTCGGGTCTGTTCAGCCCAGACAGCGTGGAGACACATAGTCTATTCTCATTCGGCAAGACAAAGATATAGCCGCCTCAATCACCAGCACTGTCAGCCAGCACCTTACAAGCCTTGATAGACACACTTTTGATATATAACATATAACCCAGCCCGGCCATAACCAGCTGTCCCCACTGTCGCACTGGTGCCTTAGTTGGCATTAGTGTGTAAGCATGACATGAGCTCATACTGAATCTAGTCTTCCTGTGGTCTTTCAAGTGGTAACTGATACCCTCGTCTTCATGCACAGGCACTTTTGTTGTGGATGTTCAATATATATATATATATATGTATATATATATATAACATATATATGTTATATATATGTTATATATATATATGTTATATATATAACATATATATATATATATATATGTTATATATATATATATGTATATATATAACATATATATAGAAGACTCAATCACCAGCACTGTCC